GTCGAGGCTTACCCGAGGATATCACGATAAAAGGGCAGGCTCTGGGCTGGATCCTTGATGCGAATCATGGTCTGCTGCCAGGCGGCATTGAACGGGCGGCCATCTTGCAACCTGGTATCGAGATGCATTGATTTAGGGTCAGCAATGTTGGGGTGGCTCCGGTCGGGAAGTGCGCGTCTTTCAAGGACAGATTGATCCGTGGTATTTGAAGGGGGGCGGGAGGGGAGCAGGGCAACGCACTTGCGGACGAAATTGGGTGCCGAGGTAGAGGTCATGGTGCGGGTGAGAGAAAGCTTGTTGACTACTGAGCGTAGCGGGGTTGTGGGCGCTGTGAGCCGTGAGCGACGCAGCGCATGGGTGAAGCAGCGGAGTGCCGCAGCTGCCATGACTTCCAAGGCCAAGGGCAGTGGTGTCAGCAAAGCGAGACAATGCCAGCGGTGAGGCAACGTCTTGCAGCAGCGCATGCAACGGCACAAACACGCCAGCGAGTGCAGGCAAGAACACGCTCCTGCTGTCACGATGGAGCCCTTGAAACACGCCAGGCCGGACCGAGAAGGAGGCGCAGGCAAACGGATGTCTTCCATCTCAAGCCCCTTTAGCAGGTGCGCGCGCGCATGTGTGTTTGTGTGTGTGTGTGTGCAGACGAGACGAGGTCACATCCAGGTGGCGGTCTGCCATGTTATTACGATGGCCGTCGTCAGTGACGAGCGTCAGTCTTTGACTCACCTCTTGCTCGTGTGTGTGTGAGAAAAATATGAGAGAGAGTTTGAGAGAGTTTGAGAGTTTGAGAGAGAGAGTTTGAGAGAGTTTGAGAGAGTTTGAGAGAGAAGCGAGAGAGAGAGAGTTTGAGAGAGAGAGAGAGTTTGAGAGAGTTTGAGAGTTTGAGAGGGAGAGAGAGAGTGTGTGTGTGTGCGTATGAAAGAGCTTTGAGGGAGCCTTGTGAGAGAAAGGGTTGCAGAGGGCCGTCTTAAGAAGCTCTCGGTGCGCATCGCCAAGGCGTGGTCATGTCGAATGATGCTTGGGGTGTGATGGCATGGGTCAATTTGTTTATTTTTTTCTTGGTGCTCTACTCGTTTGGCCTGGGGCTTGGCTGTGTCTTCGCGGGGACCAGCGCTGGGCCAAAAGGGGGGGTGGGGTATCCAATCTCTCTTTTGCATGGTGTCATGTGCTGGGGTCGTTTGTACGGGTCGACTCCAATGTTGGCGGTCAGGGGCGTGGGTAAGGCATTGGGAGTCGCTTATAGCGCCAGTTCCCCCAAAAAGGCGGTGCGATCGCTGGAACAAGAGAGCACTACACGGTGGGGAACACGAGCAAGCAGTAGCACGACATGAGGCACATGGTATGCTTTGGCACCGTTGCGGGCACTTGGGTCCACGGCGCAATGCGTGTGTCACACATACCGATGGGCTCTTTGGGATGGAAGGCCACGTCGTTGACGGAAGACTTGTGGCCGGGGAGGCAGTACAAGAGTTTTTGCTCGAGGCTGTTCCAAACATACATGTTACGATCGGCCGAACCGGCGGCCACGTGGCGGTTATCGGGGGCCCATGCAACGCGCAGGAGATTCTTTTCATAGTTGTGCTGGGCGCCTGTTGCCAAGAGAACAACAAGAAGAGTCAGCCTTAGATTGCCGAGAGAGAGGCTCGCCTTTTGCGGCTTCAGGGCAAACGGCACGGGCACCGGCGAGGTCACCACACCGCCCCAAGGCGAGAGCGGAGCAGCGAGGTCAACGTACCGGAGAGGGTTGTTTGAAGGCGGGACCCCTGCGCAAAGGGCTGAATGTCCCAAATGCGGACCGTGTTGTCCATGCTGTTGGTTGCAACCTTCTTGCCATCCGGGCTGACGCTGAGGCCCGTGACGGTGTCCGTGTGGCCCTTGAGCAAGTGGAGGACGTCGAGCTTGCGAACGTCCCAAACCTTGACGTCATTGTCGATGCCACCAGACACGACTTCGTCGTTGGTCATGCCAAAGTCGACAGCGGTCACCTGCAGGAGTAGCGTCAGTGTCAGGGCGTCGGGGCAGCGGCATCTATTCATGGACTGGAGGCTTCTGCAAGCGGGGGGTGGGGGGGGGGGGGGGGGTGCCCAAACCTGATAGCTGGAGCTCATCGAGTGCACGTAGCCACGGCGGCGGCAATCCCAGATCTACGGACAAAGAATGTTTCAATCAGACCTGATGCAGAGTGGTCCTGCTGATGGGTGGGCAGCTGCTACGATAAGGGGCGCGAGCGAACCTTGATGGTGTTGTCATCTGAAGCAGTAACAAAAAGAGGCGACTCATCGCGGGGGCCGGCAACGTCATTGACAATGTTGGCATGGCCCTTGTACCGGCGGACACGTTCGCCCGTCTGCATCACAGCAAAGGAGGGTCAGTCCGACCGGTAGGCGGGACAGGAGCCGAGCGAGGCGTGAGGGTCGGCGGGTAGGAGCGCGGGATTCACTGGTTGCAGCTTTGTGAGGGGGAGCTTGAGGTAGCAAGGGTAGTCTGGAACATACGTTGCCATCCCAGACGGCGACGGTTTTGTCAGAGGAGCAGCTGAATAACCGATTCTCGAGCTTGGCCCAATGGAGGCCGAGGACAGCGCCTGTGTGGCCCTGCAGGCTCATGATGTTCTCGCAGTTGCCAAACGTGTTCCACACGTCTAGAGGAACGAGTCAGGGCACATGAATCCAGATCCGTTTCGACAAAGCTTGGTTGTATCTGGGCCTGTGGCGCGGCATGTGCGTGGGTGTTGGGTTCGGGCTGGAGTTGGGCTGGTGTGCAGGACGTACAAACGTTACGGTCAAAGCCGGCCGTGGCTAGCATGTGACCCGAGGGGCTAAATGTACCGGCATAGACGGCTTCCTACAGGGATGGAGGATCAGGGATGGAGGATCGACGGTCAATTGGACAGCATGCTCAGGGGTCAGAGACGGGCCAGGGGGAAAGGAAGGAGGAGGAGGAGGAGGAGATGGTGCACAGGATCGAGGTGACGTACGGCATGACCCTCGAGGCGCATGACGGGGGCCATGAGGTTGGACGTCCGCGGGGGACCCTGCGACGACGAAAGAGGGAGACAACAATGGTCCATGAGCGGTCAGCCGAGCACGGCTGATGAGGGGGATGATGTCATTGGTCGGAGGCCGAATTGATCAAGGGCGGCGATGGCCCGCCGCCGTCCGGAAGGCTCGGCGCTCAGAGCCGAGGCCTGGTGCTCGCTCGTTGGGCAACGTACCGAGGGGACAATCTGACCATTGTTGCCCGAGGACGAGCCGGCAAGCACAATCTCATTCTTGGATCGCTTTGCAGCGGGAACAGCCACCAATGCATTATTTGCTTGGCCTTGCATGTTTGACTCGTTTGAAGGGATGGCGCTGCCATCGGCATCCACTGCTCCACGTTTCTCCGCCATCCTGCCGTTCAGCGACAGAGAGAGCGAGAGAGAGAGAGGGGCTTGGGAGTGAAATTGAAGCAGAGAAGCAGAATGAAGTATGTGGATCAATTAGAGAGAGTGGTGTTGGTGGGATCTGGTAAAGAGACTTATGAAAGGGAAAAGAAGAGATGATCTGCCATTTCGGTTTAATCTTAGAGAAAGGGGTAGAGGTGTCGTATTGGTCCAGAGCGGGGACTAGTCAGCATGGCCATAACATTTGGTAAACCGCTGCGCAAAGGGGGTGTCTCTTGGTAGCGTTGCAGCGCTGTTCTCACTAAGTTCGCTTTCTGTCACTTTTATAGTTTCTCTACACTGGGTTCGCCAACTGTGCATCATCACTGCTTTCGGTTTTATTATTCTTGTGACTGTTTTCGCTTGCTTACACTTTCAAAGTGACTGCTTTTTGAAAAAATCACCATACAGCAGTCACAACAGAAGTAATGTCGGCTTGCTTGGGGGCATGGTGTGAATCGATAAAAGGAGAAAAACAGGGTTGCCACCTTTTGAAATTTCCGCCCCCTCATGCTGACAATGATGTAGCGCTTCGGCTTTGGCAAAAGCAAAAGGGCAGCGGGGACCGCATAAAGTGGTTCTGGGCAGCTGGGGCAGGGCCTTTAAGCTTGCTCTGCCGTGGAAGGTGGGGGATGCATGCCGACTCCAAACTGATGCGGTGTGTTGTTGCTGTTTGTGGCCGCTTGTCGCGCAACGTTGGCCGCGAGTTGCGCACTGGCTCGTCGAGGTGTGGCAGTGTGCCACACACACGCACAAACACATGTACACCTCCTCGTGAACGCCATCATCCGCCCCTCATCACCACCGTCATTCCGAACCAAAAAAAAAAGGGTATTGGGGAGGCCAGGTTGTCCGATGGGATGAACCGCCCCGCTCGTGCTCAAGCCCCAGGAGCGGTCGGTTCACTCGGGGCGGTTCAACCCCCGCTGCCGTTTGTGTCCCACGTCTACCTCGACAAACATCAACAACATGTGTACAACAACATGTGTACAAGTGTGGCCATCAAGCTGTGCAAGGTTACCCAAACCGGCCAAGGGGTATGGGCAGTTTCATAATCACATGTTCTGTGCAACACACCATCAAACTGTGTGTGTGTGTTGTGTTGTGTTTCATGTGTACGATTCGTTGCCAATGTGGGTAATGGTATGATGACTGGGCGTGGTGGTGCACTTTTGTCTTTGGTTCACCCATTTACGCTTGTAAGCGGCCAAGGTATGACATAACACTTGGTAACGTTGGTTGTGATTTGGCTTGCGTGTGGCTTGTGGGTTGACGACATGTCCAAAGCTGTTGTTGATTCCCCGTGGCGTTTGGCAAGGACTACCCAGGAACTGCTCATACGCTACCTCCCCCTCTCCTCTCTTTTGTCTTCACACGATGTACTCTTGAGAGCCACACAAGATGTGTCGAGACGCTTCTGAAAGTGCAAAGGGGGATAGTGGAAGTAGAGGTGGTGGTGGTGGGGCAAGGTTCGGCCAGAGGTCGGTGACGTGTTTCTGTTTTCAGTAAGAGAATATCTGGAACGGGGTCGCACTCTAAGCTTGAATTCTATAATAAAGCAGAGATGTGTTGCGTGAGGATACCTGCCGTGAGAGAATGAAATTGCCCACCTTTTCCACCTCAGAGAATGATCACCAGCGTGACCATTCCGCCAAGGTGCGGTTAGCGTGGCGGTGGCGTCCTTCTCTCACTGCGGTGGACGGGGGAACGCGGCATGATGATAATGATACTGATGATTTGGCAGCCAGTTGTTCCTTGCCAAACGGCAGCCAAGAATACACGCATCACGCCTGTAGCCCTTTCTCCCACTGGCAAGATTAAAGCCTGATCATGTGTAAGCGACAGCGAGAGAGAGAGAGAGAAGGCGACACATTCTTCCCCCCCCCCAAAAAAAGCTCGCGCCCCACAAAAGCAGCCACACACACGTACACACACACACGCTTAAGTAACGTGGCTCTTCATTTTTCTTTTCGCTCTCTCTCTCTCTCTCTCTTTCTCTCTCTCTCTCTCTCTCTGTCGTGTTCTAAAAAAAGGGCAGCGCGCACGGATCATTGGGTCCACACGTTTCAACTTGTTTGCAGGCGTGTGGTACAGTGACTGCCGTTTGGTGCATTTTTTTCTTTCAGTGTACAAAGTCATCGAGTCAAGTTGTTGCAGTGACCAGCCTCGTGGCGCGGCAGTCACATCCCCTGATCGCCAACATTATGTTGGCCGCCTCTGTGGCGCCCCCCGCCACGGCGAAACAGCATGCACACGCCACATCGGGTTCTGGTGCCAGCGCCGCCAAACAGGTGACCACCCCAGCTGCTGCTAAAGCTGGCGATGGTGTGCGTACGACCAAAGCCGATCGCTCGCCCCCGGCGTCCTCGTCGGCCTCGGTCCAGGCAAAGATGCACAAGCGCTCTCCCGAAAAGTCGCGTCTGCGTCATGATCGCCCAACGTCTCTTGCCGTGGCCGTGGCCGTGTCCATTTCAGCGGGCGACGAGCCCGTGGACGATGACCGCACCAAGATGCCAGTGCCTTCCACCCCTGCCCGCGCTCCCGCCTCGTCATCATCGTCATCGTCCTCGTCCTCGCCTTCCTCCTCCGACCGCGCTCCCTCCTCGTCCTCTTCGCGTTCGCGTCGGCGGGGTCCCAGCAAGCCCAACTTTCGCCGCCTTCTCAACCTTGCCCACAAAACAGAAGCCGAAGTGGCCGCCGAACTGGGCCTCGAACCCAATGCCCTCTCCAACGTCCTGGTACGTTCAAACCAACCTTTGCTGTTCCATCTTCCTTTTCCTTCTTTTTCTTTCTTTTCTTTTGTTTTGTTTGTTTGTTTGCTTTTTTTTTTTTTTTTTTCCTCTTCTTTTTTTGGAGATCAGATCTCCTGTTCTGTTCAATCAGCTGTTCGGCCATTCCTCTTGTCTTTCTCCTTGATGCCCGTCTTGCCTCCTTGTAACGTGCGCACCGATCTCTTACTCACCGTAAACGGGGCCCGCCATGGTTTTTCTTCCCCCGTCTTTTTTTTTTTTTGGTAGAGTAACCGGGTGGCGGCGATTGAGCGTTGGGCCCCCGTGTTTGCCAAGGCTGCTCTGACCTGCCGCCAGGGCATTTGCAAGCTCTTGGGTGCCGACAAGTCTTTTGATGACCGCCAAGAATCTGTCGGGGAGACCATCTTCTTCTGCCTCCAAAAACGCGGACAGGATGTTGTGGAGCAGTGCCGGGACTGCCTCGTCCAGGGCTGGTCGGGCTGGGAGCGCTATCGGCTCTCGGAGCAGCAAGTCTGTGATTTCTTCGCCGGCAAGTCGCCAGAGGCCGAGCAAGTCGCCGACTTTCTCATCAAGCTCGGTCAAGCCACTGACCTGACCGGCCTTTTCAGCCTCTTTGTGCGCTGAATCCGATGGTCTCTGTTTCTTTTCTTTTTTTTTTTTGGCCTTTTGTGCATACATACAAGATCCCCGTCGCCTTGTTGTTCTCTTGGCCGCGCTGCTGCCTTTCGGACCTTTTACCGAGTAAACTGGTCCAGCAGCTTGCGTCAGGAACAGGGTCACTCGGTCACTCGAGTTGTGACATTTCTTCCTTGCATGTGTATCATACACACCAAACCTGGTGCTTGTCGCCTTGATTCTTGCCTTGGCTGTCGTCCAGCCACGTTTTGAGTATACGGTCGGGCTTGCATTGGCCCATCATCGCCTTCCTCTTTTGTGTTGACTCGCCTTTATGTGCGCGCCCGACCAACACACCGAGTAAAGTGTGTTTGTTTCCATAGCATTTGGCGCTTGTTTGCCTTGCTGTTCCCGTTTTCGCTTCCCACTCCCCTCCGCCACTGTCCTAAGGACAGGACCAGAACATGAGAAAAAGCCTCATCTCATCATGATTGATAACTCCGAATATCTGCCTTTTGTTTTTCAATTTTTTTTTTCTTTTTTTCTTGGATTTGTTCTCTCGCACTCTTGCCACGCAACAGTTGATGATACGTTTTCCACTCTGAACGGGTTTTCCCCTTGTGACTTTGCGCACCTGAACGGCTGCCTCTTATCGGGAATGGTATTCAACGAGCCTCGGTCCGTTTTTGGTGATGGAACGGTTCTGTCGACGAGGTACTGACACTGCAAGCATGGGCAGTCCAAACCCACGTGAGGTAGCGCAGTAGGGCGAGCCGGCGCAACCGAGATCCTCACACGACCACACCCACGCTCACACGACCGTCCACACGACCACATGAGCATCATGTCCGACTTTCGAGGTCCCATCGACAGGAATTGCGCCACATGGGAGGGAACCTTGCGCTGTTGCGACACTCTGACATCACAGAACGTAAAAGAGTAGAGAGTGAAAGGGAAAGAGTACAGAGTAAAGAGTAGAGAAGAGAGTAAGAGCGAGTAGAGTGAAGAGAGGAATAGCACAACTACCACAAGAGTAGTGAGTCAAGTCAAGAGTAGAGAGTCGAGAGTCAAGAGTAGAGAGTAGAGTCGAGAGTCGAGAGTCGAGAGAACGAGAGTAGAGAACGAGAGTAGAGAGTAGAGAGTCGAGAGTAGAGAGTCGAGAGTCGAGAGTAGAGAGTCGAGAGTCAAGAGTAGAGAGTAGAGTCGAGAGTCGAGAGTCGAGAGAAGAGAGTTGAGAGTAGAGAGTAGAGAGTGAACGGTAGAGATCAATCGCTCGAAACAAAAACCTCCCTCAATCTCCTCCAAGTTTAAAGAGTATAATTCCCAGATCCGGGTAGTCTGCATGAAGACTGGCAGTCTCTGATTGAGTCTTGTTGACAAACACTCGCGTTCACAATGGCGACAACGCGCAGCGGCACGACCGCCGGCGGGGCTGGAAACGGCAGCCGGTCTCAACTCTCCGTCGTGGTACCTGCATATAATGAGACGGATAATATTCAGCCTCTTTGTGAGCGCCTGTTCAAGGTGGGTGGTGTCGGCGTGTGTGGTCGATCCTGCCAGGGGGTTGAGTGTCCTGCTGTTGCGCTCGGGCAGCGCAGCTCACAGATCGTGCGCCGTGTACACTGGCCCCTCTGTTGTGCAGGCCACTAAGGAAGCCGGGATCGAGGCCGAGCTTTTGATCATGGATGATGAGAGCCCTGGTTCCGAAGCCACCAAGGTCTGTCTCCACAGCGACCCTCGATGTCGGTCCACTGACGTGATGCGTCTCGGTCAGGATGGGCCACACCCGCACGAGCGACACCCGACTCCCTCACCGACTTGCTCCTCCGTCTATTCTTCGCCCCTGCCCCCTTGCCCTCTCGTTGCGTCTGGCCTTTAGGTCGTGGTTGAGAAGTTGCGCGCAGACTATCCGATCCGCGTGCATTGCCGCCGCCGCTCTGAGGGCCGTGGCCTGAGCTCTGCCGTTTTGCTTGGCTTTGACATGGTACATCTCGAGCCCAACCTTGCACCGCTTTGCGCTTCGTCGTCGTGGACCGTCTTCTGCCTCGGCACCAAGAAAAAAAATGTCCTCATCAACCATCCTCCCCCACCTCTTCTCCGTGGCTTGTCTTCTTTGCTCTCTTGTTGTGTAGGCCAAGTACGAGAACATCCTGTGCATGGATGCTGATTTGCAACACGAGCCCGAGGCCGTGCCGGCCGTCGCAGGTTTGCTCCTTGTTTCATGCAGGATGCACCTTGCAGTGCAGCATTCTGCTTAGTCTTGATGCCTCATGGTGTCACTTTGGCTTGTCTTGGTAGATCCCGTCATGTCGGGCGCAGCCGAGTTTTCCGTCGGCTCTCGCCATGTTGGGGGTGGCGGTCTGGTAAGACTCGGTCACAGCCGACCCCGCGCGCGTGTCTGTGCATTGCATCGGTCGACTTTGAGTCTGGATGACATTTGCTATACTGCTCTTGTTCTTGGTGTCTGCAAGCTCACAATACCCCTCCCACCGTCACCACATGACTGCAGGGTTTTGATTGGTCCTTGACTCGCCGACTGATCAGCTTTGGCGCCACCGCCCTGGCCGTGCCCCTGACCTCTTCTACGGATCCCATGTCCGGCTTTTTCTGCACCACTAAAACTGTGCGTGCAACACATACATGTGACCGCGGATTTGATCTGGCTCGCGAGAGTATTGTTGTCTCTGCTTCTTCTCTGATCGACTTGCTTGTCCACTCTCATATACACATGATTCCCCGGCCTCCTTCTGATTCCAGGTTCTGGCCCGTGGTCGCCAACGCTGCAATCCCATTGGCTTTAAGATTGGCCTCGAAATCATGGCCCGGTATGCTCTTTGTCTCGTTTTCCTTGCTGACCCGAAGCACCCCATCGTTTCGGTCCTGGTCTAATTGCCCATGCATGCATGCCCCCGTGCCTCTCACCACTGCTCTTTTTTTGCTTTTGGAATAGCTGCCGTTGCGCCTCGGTCCAGGATGTGGGCATTACTTTTCGCGAGCGTGTGGCTGGTGAATCCAAGCTCACGATGAAGCAGAACGTGCAATATCTCGAACAGCTGGCCATGCTCTACTGGGATCGCTATGCTCCGATCCTGGTGTTGCTACTGGTGGCCATTCTCGTGGTTCTCTACCTCCTCGCCAACGCCCTTTTCTTCTAGTCGGTCCCATTGGCCCAGTCGTCAAACTTTCAAAAATTACATCCCACGCTAGCGATCAGCGTCTGCTTTTCCCGCAGCACGCCCCTCTTACATCACTGTCAACCATCTAACGCAGCAGCCATCAAAAGGAAAACAATTTAACGTTGTTAGTTGGGTCCGGGCGCAGAACAGATAGTATGTCATGTGTGCGCGTGTGCTGGTTTTTGAAGACGACAGATGCTTTCCTCTCACGCACACCCTCAATCCAAAGTCCATCGCTTGTCTATCCCTCCCGTCTCGTCCATCTCCCACCATCTCTCTGCACGCCACTTTCATTTTTTTTAATTTTTCGGTTTCTCTCTCTCTCTCTCTCTCTCTCTCTCTCTCTCTCTCTCTCTCTCTCTCTCTCTCTCTCTCTCTCTCTCTCTCTCTCTCTCTCTCTCTCTCTCTCTCTCTCTCTCTCTCTCTCTCTCCCTCTCGCGTTTTCAATTTTTTTCATTTTTTTTTTACGGGGGTTGATGGCAAGCACACACGACGGGTTCATGCAGACTCGGGGCAGCCCTCCTCCTTGATCAGGAGGTTTCGTCTCCTTCCCCCTTGCTCTTGAATCTTGATCGCTCCTCTGCGCTGTCTTCCGTGCGCCCCCTTTCCTTTGCGTCCTCCCCCCACCACACACACTATCGCGCGCGGTGTTGACTCCGCCCCAAACGCCGGCAAGATGGATGTCAGCTCCTTTACCCGCCTCCTCTACTCCTGGGTGAGTGATCATCGGCTGACGCGGGCCGACTCATCCGCTGCTGAGCTCCGTGCTTGGTCGCCTCGATCCTGGCTTGTATGCCGGGTGTTTTGGGATGCCAGATTTTTCTTGCTTGGGCTGACAATGTGCTGCATCTGGGTGGATCAACCGCAGACCCACCAAATGGAGCTGTTGGACTCGGACAACCGCACCACCTCGGGGCGCTGCTTTACTCGTGATACGCTCGTGCGTTGCCCTCCCCCACCCCTATTCCCTTTCCTCGACTTGGCCGGTCTTGTGGTTCCTCGCTCTTTTTGCTTGCGCATCGCTCCAGCTTACCTCACCCGTGCTGGGCTCCGCCCTGTCCAGAACAAGCTGGCAAACAATCGCAACATGTCAACAGAGATTGTGCACGATGTGATTGAGTATCTGATTGAGCATGGCATCCTCTCCATCGTCGAAACGACCGCCCATGAGGATGTTTATCACTTTCGACAGCGACCCGGTCAAATCAAGTGCGTTCCGGCACGGTCGTGGCAACTTTCACCTCGAGTTTACGCCCCAACTGCCGACCTGCGTAGCGCGGCGACCGCCTGCCTGATTAAGCCTCGGTCAAACGTCTCATTGTGGGTGTGCGCGTGATTCTGTCATCCTCTTCTGTTTAGCTTTGGTGCCCTCCCTCCTTTTGCAGCCACGGTCCGGCCACCGCCAAGCGATACGCAAAGCGAGATCTCAGAGACCCGCTCCAAGGGCTCGTCTGTGCCACGCAGCTACGATCATCTGCTTGATACACTCGTCGACAGTATCCCCCACCAACACCAACACACGCCCAAACACAAGCGCAAGCGCCGCAAGGACCGCCGCCGCGAGAAAGAAGAGCAGGTTGGACACGCCAGACCACAGGGTGGCTTTCAACCAAATGAGTGCCCGCTTGATGATAGCATTGAGGCCAACCCTCACTAGGCCGTGGCATGCTCCTTCATGATTCACAGGAGGCGCGGCGCATGCAGATAGAACAAAGCGCCGAGGCCTGTGCTGAAGCCATAGTGCACCTTGCTGTTGAGGTGTCTCATCTCAAGTCTGTCTCGCCCCATATCCATGACTGACCTTGCCGTTTTCTGATGCACACTTCTGACCATCAACTTTGCGCCCTTCCATCCCGCAGAGACGGCGTCCGACAAACCCAAGAGCAACAAGAGATGCTACAGGCACAAACGGACATGTGCACGGTGAGCCCACCACGGCTTTTGCTTTTCTTTCTGTGTGTTTGTAGCCTGGCCTCATGCGGTGCGCCCTTTTTCTTATTTCTTATTTTTATTGTTCAATTCTTTGCTTGAATTTCCCCCAGCATGAGATGCGGGACCTGAACGAGCAGCTGAGTGCCTTACAGGTACCTCCGACGGCCGCCCCCCCACCCCCTTTCAACGTTTTGCCATTCATGCTTTGCTCACGCTGGTTGAACACCTTTGTGTGTGTATGTGTGTGTCAGATGCATCAAAATCTTGTGCTGGAAGAAGATGAGCTGCACAATCAGGTTTGGACTCGTCCGCCTACTTGTCGACTTGTCAAACTTACAAGCCCCGCAGGCAAAATGTATCTTTGACCGAGTTTTGTTCATCTCTAGCTGCGGCCCTACGAGGTCTTGCGCCAGCGCATGCGACACTTCAAGCCACGCCTGAGTGACCTTAAGTCTACAGAGGTCCGTTGGCCAACTGCCGAGTGTGGAGCACGAGCCCTGATCAAGCCTTGGCCTTCTGACTCACAAATGAGCGGTCCGATTGCAGATTGGGCGATGTCAGTATCGGGTGTCGCAGTTGGCGTCGGAAATTGCGGAGAGTCAAGCCCTGCTCGAAGCTTATGAGCGACAAATTGTCTCCATCACACGTGATATTGAGACCAAGGAGCGGGAAAGAAGGGACTGGACCGTCTTCTTTGTGCGAGCCGGCACCAAGCCCTTGCACTGGCTTATGACGGGGTTTCTCTTTGTGACGGCCTTTGTAACCCTGCTTGTGCGCGTCTGGAAGCGCCTCTCCTCCTCCCAACAATACCTGACAGTGGGTCAGTTCTTTCTACTCTTTTAAAGCGCGCCAATTGTTGTTTGGTTGTCTGAGCTGCGCTGGCCTGGGTCCGTGGATGGTTGCTGACGCCTGCCCTCTTTTCGGCGTGCGTTGTTGTAGGAATGGCGCTCCTTGTCATTGTAGCCGTGGAATACCAGCTGGGCGTGGGGTCTGTGGAGGTGTAGATTGAGCGCAGAGATAACGATGACCGGGTGTATGCCCACCGCGCTGCGCGTGGAGAGGATTTATCAACGCCTTAGATAGCCGGCAGCGACCTCATGCGTCAAGCACAGGTCGGCCGACTGCACATTGCTTTTGAAGGATTCAGCTAATCGAACCATCAGCTAGAGGGATGAGCTCTTCGAGTAGTTGACGGGGAAAAAAAAAGAGGAAAAAAGGAAGAGTAGCGTAAATTCCCCAAAAGGCAGCAGGCGGCATTGCCCATGGCGTGGAAGCAGGCCGGTGGTGGAGAGCCAGTTGCACGCCGGGAGCGGACCACTCGGCTCAGGATACGATATGAAGGGATACCAAAAGTACAACTCACGTTTGCAATGGTTAACATCGAGGGGCTGGCCAGCAGCAAACAGAAGGTCGAGGGGGGTTCATGTCGGGGCATGGGCGACCTGTCAGGCCATGTCCTTGTCACAGGCTCAGGTGTGCTGAACCGAGGTAGCGTTGTTAACGCCACCTTGGCTGCGGGCAGCCTCTGCTTTCTGCATGCAGGTTTTGAGGGCTTGAACGACGGCCTGGCACTTGCGCCAGTCGCGGCCGTGGTCGCCCATGCAGTCCAGCACAGCGTAGTGCTCGTCCTTGCAGCCAGTCGCATCGAGACGTTGCTCCGTCTCATCCTCTTCTTCTTCCTCTTCCTCCGCCTCTACGTCTACTACCTCGCCGTGCTGCTTCTCCACGGCTGCAGCACGACGAGCATAAATGCGATCATGCGCAGACGACATGATGCCCGGGGTCGTGCGATAATAATTGTTCACTCCTTCAGCAGGCTCGGCACATCGGCTCCAGCTCTCTTGAATCCAAACACCGACGTTGGCGTGCGTGTATACCCCACGTCGACGGTGGCCACTGCTGCTGCTGCCACACGGATTGCATACAGACTAAGACCAGCAGCTCAAAACTCTGAAATGACGACACGGCCAAGCGCTTGACTCGCGATATTGCACACATGCGCACTTCCTCTCTCTCTCTTTGACACTCGACATGTGCATCAGCGTGCCCCTGCTGGGTTGATGGGTTGTGCCGCTAAAGGTGTTGTTCTCCTGGCTGGCTGCCATCTCACGTCTGTGTGTCTGTGTGTGTCTGGCTTTGGGAAGATCAGATGAATGGGCTGTTGAGTCATGTGAAATTCAATGGAATGGGAACGACAAGACTGGAGCTTTGAATGTCAAGAAATGTCTCGATTTAACAAAGCGCAGAGCACTTGCTGGCATCGTGCTGCCGTAAGCGAGTTTTAAAGCCAAGGTCAGTCTGCTCAGCCTCTTGCTGGTGCATGAAGATGGGAAAAAAATATCTGCTGGCCGTTCCAGTTCAAGGCTGCTGCTGCAAGAAAAAGGTTGTACCGGCACCAATTGTGATGAGTAACACGCGGCCAAAGGTCATCTACCCACCACACCCAAGGGCATCGGCATAGGATAATCTTGTCACGTGTCGACCCGATAATGCCACTCGACCGCAGTCAGGCAAAACCGGTTCCTATTGTGACGTTTCACCTGTCTCCCCGTCTGGTATGGCTCTCCCACAATCAGTTGAACAAACGCGTTTTTGTCTTACCGGAATGATGGCATTCATCAAGCGGTGCCGGAAGCCATGCGTGGCGTTGGCTTCTGCTGCCATATCGTGTTGGCATGCTTGTGGGCGTTTGGTACAACCCATGCTTCTTCACGTTTACAACGTGTGGTGGTCAAGTTGAAAAGGTGGCCATGATGGTGAATCATAAAACCAACAACAAGCGTCGTCGTTTCAAGTCACGGCTGACCGCGTCCAAATGGAGCTCCGTGCTTGCCAGTGACCCTCCATCGCCGCCTTTTGGTCAAGAAGAAGAAGAAGAGGAAAGAGTTGAAGAAGAAGAGGATCCACTGGTTCGTGTTGTGAAAAATGCCACTGAACTACAACGTAAAAGTCAAAGACAGCGAGAGAGAGAGAGAGAGAGAGAGAGAGAGAGAGAGAGAGAGAGAGAGAGAGAGAGAGAGAGAGAGAGAGAGAGAGAGAGATTTAGAGAGAGAGAGAGAGAGAGATTTAGAGAGAGAGAGAGAGATTAGAGAGAGAGAGAGAG